CCCCTCACTCGGTTCTACAGTATGAACAAATATCATGTACTCCATTGTTTATGAACACACATTTTGTATGAACAAATACTATGTACTTTCTCCAGTGTGTATGAACGTACAGAGTATTGGTTAAATAACTAGTGAAAGTACATAATATTTGCTCATACACACTGGAGAAAGTACATGATATTTCTCAATACACACAGTTAAAATTTATTGTTTCATACTGTATATACACTGGAAAAATATAAATAGTAGTCCATACACACATACACAGAAAGTAGTTAAAACAATAAATTATTGGTTTAGGCACATGGGAAATTAACCTAGTTTCGATTCATACATACTGGAGAAAGTATACACAGAGGAGTGTGACTCAGAAAATGTGACTCAAAAACAGTTAAAAGTTGGACTTTTAGAAAGGTCACCAGACAGAATCTATGCATTTTTGAGAAAGTGTGCCAAATAAATTATTTGAAATTATAGAAGCTTTTGAAAATTTGAATTCATTCCTAAAAATAGAAAAAAATGAGAAAACTGCTTTAGAAAGCAATCCATTCTCTTTTTATGATCACAATATTTGTTTCAGACAACTTTTCAAAATTTCAAAGCTCCTATGACATGTATGATTTAGAGTAATATATTGGGCACATTTTCTGAGAAGTCTTTCACATGATGTTTAGGGTCATTCATTCATACAAACTAGAGAGAGTATGAGAATATTGATTAATCCAATCTGAGTAAATATGATAGATAGTTGGTTCTTCAAAAAGAGAGGTTTACTCAGATTTTGAATATCAAATAGATTTGGATCAAGTGTTATAAAGAATCTCAACTTCTTAACTTACTTAACTTCGAGCATGCAGATAAATATTCAATGGATTTACATAAAATGCAGAGTTCCTGTGACAATGGCATTTATTTTTAATGATCAAGAAAGTACTTTGCACCCTCCCGCCAAGTTAGGAAAAAGCCAGAGCTTTCATTCTGGTACACATCACATCTAGAAACATGTCTGTGTCTATCATGTAAGAAGAGAGGGTCAAGGTATTCCATGATGGAGCATTTTGGAAACCCTTCTTAGAAATTACTATGCTGAAAATGGGCTATTCAGGTATACACTGTGTACAAGTAATGCAGATTGCTCCGATTTTCACTACGGCGCCATGCCGATTGAGTATTTTGTTCAAAATTGAATACAATATTGAACAAACGGAGCAAATGTGACCCAGGCATCAGTGTAGTATGAATTTATTTTGTTAGGATGCCAGTCAGAGCTCTTGATGCAAGTACTAAGTTTGCAAACATGCATGTCAACCATGGCCAATTAGAAAAGTGCACCCCTTCTATATGATAATATAAACCCTTCCTACACCTTGGTTTAGCTTTGGATCACCATGCTATCACTATGTGGCAGAAATGCATTCTGATTGGATATAAATGATCACATGACTTAGTTCACTAAGGTGTCAGGAGATGGCATGCCAAAATGTAAAATCTCTATTAAAATGAACAAACGCATGAAGTTTCTCATCTATCATTTACAGAAGAACAATAGTTACGTAAAGTCCAGAGTAAACCTTTTAGAAACTGTTATATTTTATGTGAAATAATAAGTTCAGTATTTCACTGCCACTTTAATGTAAACTGTATATGAGCAATTGCTCTCAAGAAAGCAGATCAGTAATATAATTGATTGATATGTATTTTTGACTTCATGTCTTTTAATGTTGCATCTTGTTATTTCCCATTGTGATGTAAATTAAAAACCCAATATTCTTTTCTGACACATTTTTGCAAACCTTTTTTGGAGACAATTGATCTCAATAAGGTATAGAAAAGATCACAGTTCAGTATTTTTTGCATTTTTGACTCGTTATATTTCATGTGTTTTCGAATGTTGCCCATTATGCTTTGTCACTATTACATAATATCCAGAGGATCTATTAAACTCAAAAATGACTGCAAATAATGATTATTTTGATATTAATAGAAACAGTGACAATAATGATGTGAAACGAGTGATTTTCCTTCAAAAGGTATTTTATACATGTTAATAGAATGACCTATATTTTGAAATATAAAGGTCAGAATGACCTAATTTTTGAAACTGGTTATCAAACAAAGTCCCTTCTTTGATATCCAATGCAATTTATTCTAAATATCTTGGGGGCTAATATTGGAACTTAAAGACACTCGTCCTTTAATTCTCTGGCTTTTTTGTAAGCTACGTGTTCTGTTTATTTTATTAAAATTGAAGTTACAGAATTTCAAAGCCATTTTTTATGTCTTGCGGAAAAGCTGCAATTTCCCATTGATTTACATGGGAATTTCGATTTTCAAAAACTTCATCAGATTTGTCATCATTTTCCGACTTATTGTGATTGTTGAGAAAACTGAGAATAATTGTAGATATTGGAATTGATGTCAATATAATAATTAGTGTTGTATGGTGCCGCATTCCTCATATGAGCCTAGAAACGTTTTTGTTTCAGTATTGCTTGATTTTGATCAATTGTTATTTGTATTGTATAAATTGATTTTTATTCCGAATGATGCATATTACTTATCTAACCTATCAGTTACATGTATACACATTTGATCAGACCTGACATCTTCTTTAAAGAACTATACGTGCTACATGTGATTAATTTCCGTCATGCGCAAAGCATAGTTAGAAATTTTTGATTCAAATTATTGTTATTAAGTTAAATACTGTTGCAAAACGAATAGTAAAAACTCCGTTATTTTCAACTTAAGTGTGGTTAACATTTAATTGGATATATACTCCTAAAAATGTTAAGGACCAGTGTTTTTCCTCATTGGTTTACATGTTAACCCCCATATTTGTTTGAACGATTATTTTCTAAGCGTGGAACAAAGGAAAACCCGATAAAGTATATACATCTGTATCTTGCTTCTATTCTCTATTAAGTCTGCAAAATTCAATGTTATATCTCCATTGCAATAGCTCAAAATTTGAGGTCAAAATTGATGAATTTCATGAAATTTAACAAAGAAAGGCAGATCGCATGTTAAACAAATGGGGAATGATGGGTTAGGAGCAAATCAGATTTTTGTATATGTATTCGGTAAAACATTTATCAAATATAATTTCTGAGTAGACAATTAAATTGTTTTACTTTGTGCATGCTTTTTGTTAAGCTTACTTTGTGAGAATTACCGATTTAGAGCATCAACGTATTTTTGACACCTCATTTTGACCCCCTGTGTTATTTCAATGAGAGTTTTCATGAGAAATGACTTTGACTTTTGAGACTCATAATTTTGTAAAACCTAGAGAAACAAATCAATTTTTTGTGTTAGACAAGTTAAAAAATTCAATTGTCTATTTACTCCATTTTTGAGAGCAATTGAATTGATGGGTATTTTCTCATATGACTTTTGGCAACCCAACCATTTCCCATTGGATTACGGGTTATGTCATTTTTTTAATTTTCCTCAAATTTGACATCAACTTTTGACATATTGTAACGGAGATATTGAATTGAAAATTTTCTGAAATATAGAGAATAGAGTCAAGGTACATATCCATTTACATTATCAGTTTTTCATTTGTTCCAGGCTTTGAAAAGAAGAGTTCAAACAGACATGGGGTTTAACATGTAAACCTATGAGGAAAAAGACTGGTCCTTAACTTTTTTTAGGAGTATATATGGATTTAACTAAAAATAATAATTGTGGTGACAGTTAGGTCATTGAATATCATAAATTATGAAGAATAAATACCTATTTCTGAAGTCCAACAGTTTAATTTTGAGTTATGAACCATCTATAAAACGGCATATTTGTCAAAATTACCAAAACTTCAAGTTCGGCGTGGCAAAATTTCCAAGATATTTGGTAGTTTATTCAATTTGTAACTAGAAAATGTTGCAAATTTGGACCACCTTACAGATTGTAGAGGAACTACATTACAATACATCTACTAACTTTTATAACATATAGGTTAAATGTGTTAAAGTTATGGTTGTCATGGTTACGGTGGTGAGGGGTATGCGGATATCAGGATATCGCAAAATTGTGATAAATTGTTAAAATATAACCATTTGAAATAGTGTTTATTATTGTATTTCTTAACAGTTTTTTGTTTTGTTCAATATTGCATCTTGCTGCCATAGTATTCTCTTTAGTATAACAATATCATTGATACATATCAGAACTATGTAATGTCACAAATATAATCAAAGAAAAAGAGTATATAAGTGCTTAGAAAAAGGGTCCCTGGATTAATAGAAAAGTCAAGAGTGCACCTCCACAGTCAATGCTCCAATGCACAAAGCAAAGAAAGCAAATCTTACAATTGAATGTCTTGACATTAACCTTTTTGTACAATGGCCTATATTTCCCTGATAATGTTCCGTTGGACTTCTACATTAATGAATATGTTAAAGCAACTTGTGAGAAGTTCAACATAAAAATGAGACTCGGCTGGAAGCCAATGTTATCAGGAATCTTAGAGACTGACAGCAAAAGTTTTGTCAGGTCTTGAATCTCCGGTAAAATGCACCAAGAATGTTTAGATAAAGGTTAAAAATACATAATACTGGATAACAGTAGTAATGTCAAATGATTAAATAATCTTACAGTACTAATCCTTTTACTGTTGTGGTACATAATTTGATACATAATAGCAACAGATGACGGAGTGTCAAGATGATATGTACAGGAGAAAAGATTTATAAAACATAATTGTGACGCTGCTCCACATACCCGCGACTCCTGTTATCATAACAACCACAACTTTTTTATTTTGAAACAATTTGTCATGACAGTTGCAGGATAAATTCTTACAATGTCATTCTGTAGTAATTTCATCTCACAACAGGTAAATCTAATGAAATTAGAGCATTTGTATCTTTACTTTCCGGACACCCTGTATATAACATGTATTTTTCGAGGAGGTGTACGACGCTCTTTGGAAATATGCGTTTCAGCATATGGCGTTGATCTAAAAGAAAGACTATTTAAAACATGAAATAGTGCAGTTTAATTCCAATGAAGCTGTATTTTTTTCATTGAAAAGTTACACATTAAGAGAGAAATGAATAGTTATAGTTCTGTGAAAAGCAAAAATTCACATTGATCGCTTCAATCATTTTGATTGATTCTACCAGTCGATAGAGTGTTCAATAATATCGCATCCAGTGAAATCGAATCTCAAAGAAGGCCAGTTGTTCCAGCGTGTAGGGTGGAGGCGGATGTACCTCGCTTTCACAGGTGAATCGATCGGGAGGAGTACAGGAGTATTTCTATCATAGTTGGCATTGTTGAAATTCTGAAAAATATTCGATTCAATTCATTCGTGGTTTAGTATATTCTCAAAACTTTTTAGAATTTGCAGATTAAGTCGCCTTTTAGAGCAAAAATAAATATCTTGGCATATTGATGCGAGAGCTTGTCGAGACTGAAAATGCAAGTAGACACAGAATAGAATAAAATTAAGCTGTTACTATTCAAAATACTTTTTTGATGACTGGTTTAAGAAAAACGTGTGTTCAATTCAGTTTGCCATATCGATATCAATCCTTTAGCCTACCTCGACTTATTTAACATCCTGGCTACGGCCATGATATGGAACAAAAACTAAAAACCAATAATGTTTCACATAAAAAGACGCCATATATGATGTTTTCACCTCGGTTTGATCTATCTTGGCGAACTTAAATGATTCGCCATCTTCGCTGTAGGAAACTTTATATGATTTCGTCCAATGGTCCTGGTCCGATCTTCCTTGTGTAACAACACCATTCACCTGCACCAATCGTCCCAGATCTACCTGTATCCATTGATTCAAATCCGCTGTTTTTGGGCTCCATGCACCGGCGAATGGATCTCTGAAATGTGGAAATATTACGCTGTTTTTGTAAGAGAACTCTGAGTGTATTTTCTTCTGTCCTCGAAATGAGAGATTTTTTGTTCACTGAATTTGCCAATCATGAGTTTCTTAAAACGTATACTTAACGAAGCAATTCCGGTCAGAAATCCCCACTCTCGGGGGATCAGATTCCTAAACCTGCCCGCGTGGGGTGGGGGTCTCACGCACACTTTTGAATGATGTATCACGAAACTGCACATTATATAATTACTGGACTTGCATTACTTTAGTGTGCATCATGTTGCAATAACAGTATATAGTCCATTTGTCACCCCTATACATCCAATAGTGAACCTAGAAATTGTTAAAAGTACGATGTTTTATGGTCGATTTATGATAATAAGGGTTTTCTGAAGTGATTTAACTGGGTTGCCGAAAAAGTTTGTTTGTGGAAAAAACTATATAGGCTGATTAGGGAGGGGTGCATTCGCTTAACATGGCGTTGACTATTGACTTAGCGTTTGGATACCACCATATACCTGGTATGCTACCATGGTAATCGATACAAATATTTTCCCCAAAGTTATTTTTTTGGCAACCCAGCTAAATCACTCCAATAACCCCTAATGATAGTATTTACATAGAAAAACATCATACTTTTAAATATTCATACGTTAAGAAAATGACAAATGGACTAATACGTGAACCATGTTTGTGCCTAATATTCCAACTGTAGTGTATGTACAGGGTGTCCAAAAAAACAGGACCGTAAGAAAGTTGAATAACTCGGTCAATTTTGCATATTTTGCCTTTAAATTTAAGAATTATTTAGTTCATTCAATGTGAATTTTGTTCTGAAAGTTTGATGATAATCTGTTTATTGTGTCAAAAACTACAGTCCTTTACAAAACATGCTCAAAGTGGGCACTTCTCCTCTCTATGCACAAACGAATCCTGCGAACAAAGTTGTTAATGACCATTACCTATACATATTAATGTGGATGGTAAATATTGGGGTAGTTATTGCCCTCTTAAGATTGTTAGGGGCCTGTCAGTATACACATTGGCTTTGAGAAATCCTCAAAGACAAAAATTAGGGGGATTTAGATCAGGCGAATGAGCTTCTCATATGGTTTGCGTTCTGCAGCTGATGAGCTGACCACCAAAGCATTGCCTAAACCATTTCAGCATATCATTTGCAGTGTTGGGGTGGTATTGGCTTGTTGAAACCACTGCTTAATTATCTCCTTAGATGTCCCTTCTGGTGCTTAGTGACCTCCAAAACTTGGTGAGAACCTACTGGTCCTTGTTCATGGTGAAAGCAAGTCCCCAGTCACTTTCGAACCAAAAGGGACTGATGATTCCATGTTTCCTCATTACCACCCAGGGAGTGCATTGTTCAGAACACTTCATCAGTAGGATATTGAGATATTATCAAACTTTCACAACAAAATTCACAATGAATGAACTAAATAATTCTGAAATTTCAAGGCAAAATATGCAAAATTGACTGAGTTATTCAACTTTCTTACGGTCCTGTTTTTTTTTTGACACCCTGTAGTTAGTGAGGTAGCACTGAAAAATGTACCGGTGTGAACAAATTGAAATTACTTGTTTTTTATGTATTTTTATGTGATACTTCAGAAATTTTTTGTCTGACGTGCCGTAACCGGGGCGAAATTTGTCAAAATTGGGTTTTTGACCCTAAAAAGGAAAATTACAGGGGGTACATTATCATCATTGAATAATTCATTCAGTTGATCTTCAATCATCATAATAATTTTATTGAGACTTGATGAGATCATTCTGAAGTAGTATATAAAGTTTCAATGGTCTGTCACTCATGGTTGCCATGGAAACCAAATTTTTGCTGAGAAAATCCTTAATTTTGGTAAAACCTGTACCTGTACATAATATAGAATATGGATTATTTTTTATATCAACAGATATAAGAACATTTTAGCACTCTAAAAATCACCAGGGCTGTCCAAACATTTGTTTAAAGTGAAATAATATTGCAATTTATGTGACTGGTAAGTGTCAAAGACCATACAATTACATAAGTGGTCAAAAGTGGGCGTCGCCCTCATAATAGTAGTTGATTGCCATTCTCTATAAATACAGAGTTTTACTTGACTTTTGAGATACATTTATATTGAACTTCTTTGGTTATACTTAATATCAAGCATTTTAACATCTAAGTGTTATAGTTATTGCATGGGGATACAGGGGGGAGAGGGGGAGGGGGGTAGTAACAGAATTGGGAGGGGGCAGAGCTTATCAGTCTTAAGTATAAATCTCATCTTCATGGTTCTAGATTTCAAAGGGTACATCTTCTTGGTCTTATTATATTCGTCTCAATATAGAAGATATTAGAATAAAACATGTGATCAAAAGTGGGCGTCGCCCTAATCATAGTATATGGTTCATTCTCTATAAATACAGAGTTTAACTTGACTTTTGAAGTATATTTACTTAAAAACATCTTTGATTTATACTTAATGTCAAGCATTTCTGGTAAGTTATATACATCTAATTGTAATAGTTATTGCCTGGGGGTAGAGGAGGGGGGAGAGTAACAGAATTGGAAATGGACAGAGCTAATAAGCCTTAAATATAAATCTAATTTACTTAGTTCTGGATTTCATGGGGTACATCTTCTGGGTCTTCTTCACATTCATCTCAATATATGGGATATTCCAATTTACATGATTGGTAAGTGTCAAAGACCATACAATTACGTAAGTGATCAAAATTGGGTGTTTCTCTAACAATAGTAGATAATTCATTCTCTATGAATATGGAGTTTAACTTGACTTTAAGATATATTTTTTACATTAAAACTTCTTTGATTACACTTAATATTGTAATAGTTATTCCCTGGGGGGGGCAAGGGGGATAGTAGCAGAAATGGGAGGGTGCAGAGCCAATGGCCAGTCAGTCTTAAGTATTAATATCATAGTCTGATCATTTTCATTCACCTCCTGATGTTAATATATTAACAATATCATATGGAAGAATATACCACTACACTTGCAGATTTGAGAATCATTCAGTTGAATGTGTCTATATGGCGCTCCACCTTTGCCTTTTAAAAAGGTGCTCTTGCTATTGCCCTTTCTGCATGACACTTCATCTGTGAATGTGTAAAGTGCTAGGAAGGCTGCATATATGTCATTTATATGTCAGGGTCTATATTGGAGGAAATACCACTGACATCAGTCTTCATTTGTTTCCAACTCAAGTATCCAGCAGCACACTTTGCTGTATTTTGCTTCTTGTTTTCATCATCATACAAGAACTCATTCCAATCTTTAGGGACTCTTGTTTTTCAACCTTAAATAGGGCAAGGTGTCCCTCCCCTCTTTCAGGTTCCTTTATAGAATTTTTGATATAATAATATCACATACAAAAACTAATCAATCTGCAATTGTAGAATCTTGAAAATAGTCTCCGCCAGATCCTGAAACAAAACTAGCTTTCAAGTTGAATTATGGTTTGGGATAGTTGGGGTTTGTTTTCCTTATGACTTGTATACATTTTGAAGTTGTATTTTTCTTGCTGGGTTCTATTACAAATTTTGGCCCTTTCACCTTGGCACCTGTGGGTACATATTCATGCATAGGAATGGGTTTCTCTGTTCTTGCAAGAAGTCCAGTCAGTGTTCCTAGAGCCCAAGGCACAGGGCTCAATAGGAACTGCAGGAGACATTCTAGGCTAATTTTATGTTCCTAAGCAAGATCGAAGCTGTTTCATTCAGAATCAGAATGAATTTGAACCATCTTATAAGCTTGTTCTGAGTACTTTTTTTACTGTCACTGTTGCTGCTGTAGTTTGCTGCTGTAATTTTCAATTTCATATGTTTTATTATATCGTGAAATATTTTTTTCAACTAATCTCAGATGATATCTCTTCATGCAATTTTTCCTTTTGACTAAAATTAGATGACAGCGACATCATTTGGCACAGATTCTCCTTATGATAGACTGTAGAGATGACCTTCATCCTCAATGGTAAATGGATCAAGAAAGTCTTTGATTGCGGTGTCTGTCATCTTTATGTCTTTATCTGTACTTGATATTTGTGCCTTTCCAAGGCAATTATGGGTGTCACACTCATCTCATCTCTAGATAATATTCCTAAGTTGGTCTTATGAAGGACCGTCTGATTGTTGTAACCATCTCATCCATATAAAGCACTTATTGTCTGTATGGCCCATATTGCAAATCCTCATATTGAACCACCAGATGGACTTGAATGGAAACTAAATGACTCCATCGTTATAAAGGGTATTGACTGATATTCTCAGATAAGAGATTGGTGATATAGCAACACCAGGAGATGAATCAGAAAACCCCAGAAGATGTACCCTATGCAATCCAGAATTAAGAAGATGAGATTTATACTTAAGGCAGATTAGCTCTACACATTCTAATTCTGTTACTACTCACCCCGCCCCAATGTAAAAACTATAATACTTACACAGATGTATTTACCAGAAATGCTTGACATAAGTTAAAATAACAGCAGTTCAGTATAACTATGAATGTAAGTTCAATTTTGTATTTATACAAAGAACCAATAATCTACTATTGTTAGGATGACAGCCCCCCCCCCCCCCTTTGATCATTTATTAATATGTATTTGTATGGTGTTTGACAAATCATGTAAATTGTCATATCCCATATATTGAGATGAATATGAAGAAGACCCAGACGATGTACCCCATGAAATCCAGAACTATGCAGATGAGATTTATACTTAAGGCTGATAATCTCTGCCCCCTCCCAATTCTGTTACTACTCTCCCCCACTCTCCCCCAGGCAAGAACTATTACAATTAGATGTGCATTACTTACCAGAAATGCTTGATATTAATCAAAGAAGTTGTAATGTAAATGTATCTCAAAAGTCAAGTTAGACTGTATTTATAGAGAATGAATCATCGACTTTGATAAGGGCGACGCCCACTTTTGATCAATTGAGTAATTCTATGGTCTTTATACTTACCAATCATGCAGAATTATAATATCCTATATATTGAGATGAGTGTGAAGAAGACCCAGACGATGTGCCCCATGAAATCCAGAACTATGTAGATGAGATTTATACTTAAGGGTGATTAGCTCTGCCCTCTTGCAATTCTGTTACCCCCCCCCCCATCTACCCCCTCCCCCATGCAATAAGTATAACACTTAGATGTACATTATTTAGCAAAAATGCTTGATATGAAGTATATCCAAAGAACATCATTATAAATGTATCTCAAAAGTCAACTAAAATTCTGTATTTATAGAAAATGGCAATCATCTACTACTATAAGGGCGACGCCCACTTTGGATCCCTAATGTAATTGTATGGTCTTTGACAATTACCAGTTATGTTAATTGCAATATCCTTTATATTTAATTCAAACATGACCGTGCTCTATTCGAATTTCTCAACCAATCAGAATGCAGCATAGCCAATATAGAACGTTCTCTAATTCTCCATAGATGCACGACCATGCTCTATTCAATCTGCAATTTGCATTGTTTTGAGTGACGTCACATCTCAGCTGCACATCTGGGGCTCTGTCCGGGGATAGCTGACGTCACATCTCAAACAAATTCTAAAATTTTTCCGGCCGACTTCAGAATCTTGACAGCATGCGTATTCTTCCTTCATGCCCGTTCCACAGACACGGCTTTTACTAATTTTTATGTTTGAATCGGAATAAATAATGATAGGCCATTCAATATGGTGAAATTCAGCACTCGTTGGACAGAATGTTAGTACAAATGCACTCACCTTTGGTTCGTGCTTTATACAACATTCTGTCCAACTCGTGCTGAATTTCACCATGTTGAATGGCCTATCATTATTTATTCCTTAAATAAATGTTTGAACTGCCCTGGAAATTTTGAGAATGCTAAAATGTTTTGATATCTGTTGGTTTGAAAAATAATCCACATGCTATATTAGGTGCAGGTACAGGTTTTACCAAAATTATGGATCTTCTCATCAAAAATTGTGGTTTCCATGACAACCTTGAGTGTCAGACCATTGAAACTTTACATACTACCTCAGAATGATCTCATCAATTATGTTTGAATCGGAATAAATAATGATAGGCCATTCAATATGGTGAAATTCAGCACTCGTTGGACAGAATGTTAGTACAAATGCACTCACCTTTGGTTCGTGCTTTGTACAACATTCTGTCCAACTCGTGCTGAATTTCACCATGTTGAATGGCCTATCATTATTTATTCCTTAAATAAATGTTTGAACTGCCCTGGAAATTTTGAGAATGCTAAAATGTTTTGATATCTGTTGGTTTGAAAAATAATCCACATTCTATATTAGGTGCAGGTACAGGTTTTACCAAAATTATGGATCTTCTCATCAAAAATTGTGGTTTCCATGACAACCTTGAGTGTCAGACCATTGAAACTTTACATACTACCTCAGAATGATCTCATCAACTCTCAAGAAAATTATCATAATGATTGATGATCAACTGAATTAATTATTCAATGATGATAATGTACCCCCCCCCTGTAATAATCCTTTTTAGGGCCAAAAACCCCATTTTGACCACTTTCGCCCCGGATACGGCGCGTCAGACATAAATTTTCTGAAGAATCACATAAAAATACATAAGAAACAAGTAATTTCAATTTGTTCAGACACCGGTACATTTTTCAGTGCTACCTTACTAACTAATGTGACAAAAACTACAATTACAACATGGCGCTATATTGCCGTACGTCGATACGAAAAGGCTTGTTTTACATTGCAATTGATGTATTACTTTAAAGAGCGTGAACATTATAAAGTACATCATGTGATATTAACTGATATTGTGTGCCAAGTATTGCCCTGCTTGGACCAAGACTACTATTCCAAAAAAGGCTTGTTTCATTGCAATTGATGTACTACTTTTAAAGAGCGTGAACATTATAAAGTACATCATGTGATATTTACTGATATTGTGTGCCAAGTCTTGCCCTGCTTGGACCAAGATTACTATTCCATTCAGAAGAGGCTGTCAACGCATCATCCTCGACTCTGGGATATGTTCGAGAAATCAAAAACTCTTCCCAACAAAAATCTGAAAAAATGGATAGTCATATCGAAAAAATCCAAATAGTTAAAGAGAGAATCAGAGATAGCGAGCAGGCTAAACGAAAAATTTCGATTTTAGAATATTTTTGGCTCATGTCTTTCCTTGTCATGTCTATTCTCTAAAAATCACGAAAGTGCATACTTTATTCGAGGAAAACTAAAGATTTTTACAATAATGTATTATTTTTCTTTCAGAATGGTTCCCATTCTTATTATTTGGGAGAATTTAAACATTTTTCATCCATTTTTGCACTTTGAATCATTAATAATTTCATCAATTTATAACATAAACTTTGGAAGATATTGTATTTGATATTGCAAGGAATTCATTCATGGTAGGTCAATTACACAAGTTGCTTGTAATTTTGTCACCCCATATATATCTGATTCTGCCTTTAAGAAACTTATTGATATAATATCGGTGATTTATGCTATCAATTATGAAGCAATTGTGACTACTGCTCTTTTTCTCTTCACATATGGTGCTATTCTAAGAGTTGGGGAACTCACATAACACAAAGACAACTTTAATACCGCACAACTTTTTAATATAACCATCTCAAATCAAGGCATCCACCTAAGAATGTCTAATTTCAAACACAAAAACCCAACCCAATCTTTCAACATATTAATATCACCCAAAAGGTGCTCAATGAATTACCCATACTCTGCCATGGTATATTATCTCAAGCGTAGGGGGAACCGACAGGGCCCATTGTTCTTAGATGAATATGAAGTGATTTGTAGGTCTTTATTTGTGAAACATTTAAAAATTCTCTTGGAGCCTCTGGTATTCATCCTATTAAGTATAACTCTCACAGGTTACGCATTGGCTATGCTACACAACTTATATCAGAATGGTTGAGTCAGGATATTGTAACGCAAAAGGAGCGATGGAAATCGTGTTCTGTAAAAAAGTATATAACAATTCAACAATCTAACGCTATCATAATTACTGTTATGTAATATTATGTAATCAGATAAAAAATTAATTTTTCATGCCCACATATATCTTAGTTTCCTTTTGAAATATAAATCTATGACATAAATAAAGTAGCAATGAATAGCCGAAAGTGTAACCAGTGAAAAGCAATCATCATTGTTAATTATTTAACTTACTTATAATATTTTTCAGTACCTTTGGTTTTCTTAACTCAAACTAAAATTAAGACTTTATAGCTTGAGTCTCAATGTATGCTGGACGCTCAGATATGGCGTGGACAGGGTACACATGATGCCAGATGTAATTTGTTCCATTGTATCTAAGAAATTGATTCATACGCATTGTAGAGTGTTGCCACTTACCCGTTGATTCATACGCATTGTAAAGTGTTGCCACTTACCTGTTGATTCATACGCATTGTAGAGTGTTGCCATTTACCTGTTGATTCATACGCATTGTAAAGTGTTGCCACTTACCTGTTAATTCATACGCATTGTAAAATGTTGCCACTTACCTGTTGATTCATACGCATTGTAGAGCGTTGCCACTTACCTGTTGATTCATACGCATTGTAGAGTGTTGTCACTTACCTGTTGATTCATACGCATTGTAGAGTGTTGCCACTTACCTGTTGATTCATACGCATTGTAGAGTGTTCCCACTTACCTGTTGATTCATACGCATTGTATAGTGTGTCCACTTTCCCGTTGATTCATACGCATTGTAGAGTGTTGCCCCTTACCTGTTGATTTATACGCATTGTAAAGTGTTGCCACTTAACTGTTGATTCATACGCATTGTAGAGTGTTGCCACTTACCTGTTGATTCATACGCATTATAGAAAGGTGCCACTTACCTGTTGATTCATACGCATTGTAGAGTGTTGCCACTTACCTGTTGATTCATACGCATTGTAGAGTGTTGCCACTTACCTGTTGAATCATACGCATTGTAGAGTGTTGCCACTTACCTGTTGAATCATACGCATTGTAGAGTGTTGCCACTTTCCCGTTGATTCATACGCATTGTAAAGTGTTGCCACTTACCTGTTGATTCATACGCATTGTAGAGTGTTGCCACTTACCTGCTGATTCATACGCATTGTAAAGTGTTGCCACTTACCTGTTGATTCATACGCATTGTAGAGTGTTGCCACTTACCTGTTGATTCATGCGCATTGTAGAGTGTTGCCACTTACCTGCTGATTCATACGCATTGTAAAGTGTTGCCACTTACCTGTTGAATCATACGCATTGTATAGTGTTGCCACTTTCCCGTTGATTCATACGCATTGTAAAGTGTTGCCACTTACCTGTTGATTCATACGTATTTTAGAGTGTTGCCACTTACCTGCTGATACATACGCTTTGTAGAGTGTTGCAACTTACCCATTGATTCATCTTCCGATTCACATTTAATATTCTGTATATCTTCCTGAATTTTTTCCTGCATATATGGCAAAGAAGATCGTATCCCATATGTAATATCAAGTAGCTCGTAAATAAGGGACTCTACTCCCTCAATTGTCGCCTTGGCCTTGGACACATCGTTTGCGATGTCAACATTTCCTGCGGAACAATTTTGTGTTTCAGTCTTTAACTCGTTTAATGTCGTCATCACGTTTTCGATGTCCGTTTTCTTGCATGTCGGAGATTTCCCTTTCTTCAGTTCTGCTGTCACCACAAGCGTAACAAGCATTACTATTGTAACTACCTTGAGCTGCATGGTTCCAACGAGTTGTTAGCCGAGACGATTATATCGCAGACGGGGTCTGTATGTGCATGGCGGCGAGTTTAGTTTATATAACTCTTTATTCCTACAATCAATCGAGGCACGTCGTCTCATTAGCATCAACTATAAACACAGGGTGTGTACCAAATTATGCGTGAATGTTGAACACACGGGGTACGGTACAGGGTGTTCAAAAAACGCAACCCAAAGAAATCCCTATACGTCGAAAAATACTAGTTCAGTTATGTTCATTTTTCAGGAAAGAAATGAGATAATGTGTATATATAGCTCTTGTTAGTTAATTGTAAAACATGATGCCTTGGAAACCTGCTCAAAAGACAGTTGTACTAGGAAAATACGAAAAACGCAGTCAGGGGTGACTACAATCGCAAAGAAACTAAATAACTTCCTAACCATATTTTTTGCTCTTCAAATTTGGCACAAATCATCTTCATTCAAACTAATGTCAAACTTAAGGTATAATAGCACGCACCACATACCACCAAAAAGAAGGATTGTACCCATTTTAAGTTCGCCTTAAAACATAATGAAAACAGAAAATAATATAATATTACTGAACACTAAGATATACAGCATGGGCATACAATTAATTTGATGAGAATGTTTCTACAAAAAAACTTCGACATGATCACGAGGGGAAAGAGTACCCGTGTATATACAACCTACCGCCGAGCAAAGACCCGAAGATGTCTGAAAATGTAGGGGATAAGTTAATAAACTCCTGTTTTATATTGAATTTCTCAATATGAGAAAATAAAACACAAAACTGTTTGTAACCGATATAATTGTTGTTCCAGGCACTCATGTTTAGAGAATAATGAGTACTTAATGCAATATTTACTATCAAATCGCTAAATCCAACTTCTAAATCTTAGAATGATCTTTTACATCTTAAATAAGTAAGAACCATGGCTGTATTTACTCCATTTGATTCAAAGATACATTAGGTGCAAATATATTACATTTGTTTCACTGCCACACGTTGCATATCATTGAAATCACCGGTGAAAGTTGAAAATGAAAGACCCAATTATACCACGAGTACGATTCAATATGACCCGATGCTGCCGCCTGAGTATTCCGATTATACCGTGAGTAAAACCCTATGAGGTAGTGAGTAAGCTTTCGAATGATCATATAATAACATGAAGTATATCACAAATATTCCTGTTAATATGATATAATTCCCGCAGCACTATACGTCAACGTCTGTGTCCCGCGAAGTTCTTTAAAACATTGAATTCATTCACTCGAATCACCATAATTTTCATTGTTGATGATATCACCACTTCTATCCGACTATGCTCATAATCCAATGAGTTTGATTCGTGTTATTTTGTATCTACCAAGACGGTAAACATATGAAAAATAGTTATATATTTTGACTGGCCTAAAATGTGCAAAGTTTACCCGTTATGCTCATTCGATCTCATTATTGAATAAAATAAGATATCAGTAGAAAGGCTACTAAAATGAAAAAAGATTGACCAGTAGAGATTAGGAAGTTCAACGTGACACATATTCATTTTTATCCATAAATGCAATCGCTCTCAAGTTTGACTAAAAGATCAGTACAACGGCTCCTAAGATGAAGAAAGATCATATTCATAATTGATTTAAACGCAATTCCGCGCTTTTCCTATCCTCCAATGTTGATAGCCTAATTTGTGTTGTGTCAGTCTGGGTCAAAATGTTACAATAGTATTAATAACGAGTGACCCTTCTAATAAAGACAATTAAATCAAGGTTCGAAAACTCCCAAAAGTAACACTTACACTATTTCATCAGCAGCATGTCATAGACTCGACGATATACTCGGATCTCAACAGATTTTACTCATGTAATGTTCGGATTCTGAGATCATTTACTCAAGATATTTTCGGATCTTGATAATATTACTCGTCGATCACATCGATGTCCGATAACATCGGATCTTTTAGGACAAAGTTTATGTGAAGATTTTGCTGTTCAAAAGTGCTATTTTGACCTAATATTTTGACACTTAATATATTATACATATGACATACATTTACCGGCCCAAGTATGTCTTATGTTTGGCTCATTATCAATTAAAGCGAGTATGAATGTGAAAAACAAATCGAAAACCATTACGTTTAACTTATCTCTTAATTTGGACATAACAAATATATTTCAACTATAATTCTAGGCCAACTCCGCCTGCTAGAACATCTTAGTAACGATTCTAACCATCCAAGGGAACTGATAGAGGTCCAATATTACCTGTATTGTCCATTTTCCTATGAGATGTAGTTAAACAAACATTTGATAGGCGGTATATGCGTGTCTTGCTCGGCGGTAGGTTGTATATACACGGGTACACTTTCCCCTCGTGATGATACTAAGCACATAAAACAAGTATGCAAAATAAAGTGACATAACCATAGAGGAGTCGACACTTTAATAGATTCACCTGCATTCTGAGGTGAATGTAAATTATTTTTATGAATATTTTAATGTCTATTTCGTTAATGAATGTAAATTATTGTTATGAATATTTTAATGTCTATTTATGTAATGAATGTAAATTATTGTTAGTTTATGAGATGCATCTTCTAGAGCAATCGTATTTATTATTATTTATTTATTTATTTAAGTGCCACGTACCTTAATCGGCACCCAGCCTTATCAGGCTTATGTGGCACTATACAAATACATACATATAATTACAGTGTGTTTTTTATACAATTTTTGTCGTTTTTCAAGTGCTGACATTATATTTTGCTGTAAGTTTTACACATTTTTTATTTGAAAGAAGATGTGTCAGTAAATCTTGATTATCATGAACCCTAGGGGGTCTGATTATAGTTTTTCTCAAATCTTTGTAACAAGAGCATTCTAGAAGAAAATGTTTCTCAGTTTCTTATATGTCCATATTTACATGCCTCACAGAGTCTTCGTTCAACAGCAAGGCCTTTATATCCACCCGTTTCTATGTTCACATGAAGAGTGCCTGACCGAATTCTAGCTATAACAGATCTTTGATTCCTTGATAAAAATAATTGTATAATTTATACTCCTCTGTACCAAAATTGTCTTCAATTAACTTATATGTACGTCACTTTGGCATTGTAGTTATTTGAACTGTCCATTTATGTATCGTATTAAACGTGATTGTTGACTTTTTCAAGTGAAACCAACATTTTAGAGTATATAAGTTAGTACTCTAAAATTTGGGTTTCACTTGAAAAAGTCACCAATTGATTCATATTTTTTCACTTTTATTTAACATAAAAGACTCGCGTGAATTCGGGAATTGGAGCTTCTTTTCATTTATCATTCGGAATTTGTCAATATCCAATAATAATATTGATTTACAAAAATTGATAAATGTAAAGTTAGAAAATCAATATATAGTGGGTCGCAAAAATAAATCTCAACCCTCAAAAGTTGTCACAATGAGCTAAATTCTAAGCTTCGTTTCTCAAACTCTCCCAAGCGGTAGAAAAATAACTCCCATTGACTTTAAGTAGCACAATAAATGAATCCAAAGCTTCATACCTGCAAATGATGGATAAATCCCTACCAAATTGAACGAATGTTTTCATGAATCGCCATGTTTGAGATCCAAGGAGCCAATCCACATTGTCGCGTAATCCGGCTCCGAAATCACCTCAACATTTGAAGAGTCGGCATTAACATGTGATGGACACGAATTCCACTATATCTGGACTTACAAGAACGGAGAAAATAGAGCACTGAATACACTGAGGTAAGAATGTATTACATGTGCGACAGCATGTAATTACCATAACTTTTGTAATTCTTTATGGTGAACACTGTAAAAGCGCGTTTATGCAAGAGATCAACAGACCAAATGATGCTCCGGGTAAATTCAGAAGTTATAAATAAGTAAAACATGCAGATAAAAGAGAAGGTTATCTCAATTTACAGAACTCCACCTATAGACAATCTATTGCTAAGGTACGGTTATCGATGCATAATTTCCCAATTGAACGAGATCGATACTTCAAAGTAGAAAAATCGAAATGATTTTGTTTCTTTTGTAATTCGAAAAATACAATGTGATGAAGAACACGTTCTTGTTTGTTGTTCTCAATCAGAACTTAAACTAGCTCGATCTTTATATCTCAGTAAAATAAAAAGTATAAACAACAGTTTTACTCATTTCAATACAGGTAGTCTATTTTATACTTAAGGAATAAATAATGATAGGCCATTCAATATGGTGAAATTCAGCACGAGTTGGACAGAATGTTGTACAAAGCACGAACCGAAGGTGAGTGCATTTGTACTAACATTCTGTCCAACGAGTGCTGAATTTCACCATATTGAATGGCCTATCATTATTTATTCCGATTCAAACATAAAAATTAGTAAAAGCCGTGTCTGTGGAACGGGCATGAAGGAAGAATACGCATGCTGTCAAGATTCTGAAGTCGGCCGGAAAAATTTTAGAATTTGTTTGGGCTGTTCTATTTTACTCCCCGTTTTAGATTTTATACGGTGTATGCAAACATGGGGTGTTGATAAAACAGGGAGTAAAAAAGAACAGCGATCCCCAGACAGAGCCCCAGATGTGCAGCTGAGATGTGACGTCACTCAAAACAATGCAAATTGCAGATTGAATAGAGCATGGTCGTGCATCTATGGAGAATAAGAGAACGTTCTATATTGGCTATGCTGCATTCTGATTGGTTGAGAAATTCGAATAGAGCACGGTCATGTTTGAATCCTTGTTAGCGCACGATGATACAATTAACAAAACAATTGGTGATATTTTACAAGAGTTCATAATATTATGAAAGAGTTGTTCAATAAAATTGACGTTAAATCATTTTGTGCTACTTAGTACTTGGTGATTGTTAGAATTAGATTGTAATTATTATGTTTTGTCATGCATGAATGTTTTATTTCTTATTTGCTTTATTGGACTTATATCTCAATGTACCTTGGATGTTCAAGATACCAATACACTTATTAAGTTGTAGCGAGACATAATTTTACAATCTACTTAGTGTAATAGAAAACTTTAAATAGGCCAATAGTACAGGCTGGTCAAAAAAGTAAAACACTTTTATATTTAGGGTATCCCCTTTATAGCAGAACTATGTGCGAAAGAGAAACAACTGGGTCGATAATTCAATTTCTAAAAAA